ACTCCACTTGGGAACTGACTTCTCAGGTGTCATCTGAAGTCTTTCCATCGTTCGTGGGACTTTTTGAAAAGTGGTCGACTCTTCCCAAGGAAACAGCTTCTGCCATAGAAGGAAGCCTGAATTAATCCCAGAGGAAGGCGATGTTCTCCATGACAAATTTCACGGGTTTTTCATCTCTCCCTCCTTTTTGTGGAAGCATCTGCCTTTGGAAAAGTGACGGTGTCCTTCCTGCTGGCAAGAAGGAGACTTGTTGTATCGTTACGGGCTTTCTGGACAAGTTTTATTCAGAGGAGATTGCCATTGCCTGCCTCTGAGGCTGAGAGAGTGTGACTTGCCCAGGATCACCCAGCAGGTTTCCATCTCTGAGCGGGAATTTGAACCCTGGTCCCCTTAGTCCAAGTCCAGTACTCAAACCACTCAAAACACCATGCTGGCTCTCGGAGTCTAAGAAGGAATCTAGCACCCACTGAGTGACATTGGGCAAGTCACGCTCTCTCAGCCTCAGAGGATGGCAATGGCAAACTCCTTTTGAAGAAATTTGCCAAGAAAACCCAATGATAGGATCAAGATGACTAACGACTGTATTGTTTGATCGCCCACCACCCCGAAATAAAGGAATATCTCTAGCCTAACCAAGCCTCCATAGTCTCTACAGTTTCTTGTTTCAACTCAAAGCTGAACAGAAGTCTGGGATTAAAAAGAAAAGAAAAGAAAAGAAAAGAGGTTTATACCTCTAATTGTCGTCGTCCCCCCACCCAGACAAGTCAGGAAAGATTGAGACCATATCCTGATTTAAAAAATCTTGGGAGCAAAACCCTGGTCCGTTTTACGGAACAGGTCCAGAACTATTGATGGCGTCTAACGTGGAGACCTACAGCTCTTCCACACTGCAGAAATAAATCAGTTTGACACCACTTAGCTCCATCCTGTGGAACCCTGGGATTTGTAGTTTGGTGAGGTATTCAGCCTGGTCTGCCCGCGAGTTCTGGTGCCTCGCCAAGCTATAAATCCCAGGATTCTGTAGGATAGATTCGTGGTAGTTAAAGTGGTGTCAAACTGATTTATTTATTCAGTGTGGCTACACCCCTAATCACACACTCTTAGAAACGATTCTCCATTGAAGACAAACGGGTTTGCTTCAAAAATCATGCTATCAAATTTCGGAGTATTACATCCATTTCTTCTTCTTCCCTCCATTTCTAACAATTGCACCCACATTTCCTAAGAGGAGGTCCCACTCAACTGGGTGAAGCTTACTTCTGAGTAGACACGTGGTTGTTGTTGTTGTTGTTGTTGTTGTTGTTTTGTTGTTATTTGTACCCCAATTTCCCCCCCCCCAATTGGGATTCAAAGCTGCTGCCAACCTATCAGCGTGCAATTGGTACCAGTCCTTGTTTACACCAAAGTCACACTGAATTGTCTGGTGACCCACATCTCTGGCCCAGGAACCATGAAAGAATCTCTAGATGGTTTTGCTGGAACACCACACTAAAGTTCAAATGGTTTAAATAAGACGTACTCCCCTTAGTGTACTTTTAGATTCACTAGAAAAAGAAGTCACCCCTTTCCTTTTCTTTAAACTTTAAAATTCTTAGTCCCTGTGAAGTTTGGATCAGGAAAACTTGTTTGAGTTTCCCTAGCTAAAACCTTTAGGAAATACTTCCAGGACAAAGCAAACATATTTGCATAAAAGTCAACTCCAGCGTCTGAGCGCTATCATCCTCTGAGCTGAATGCCATCTCCGCAGCTGAATAGGACCTGAACAAATCAAATGTCACGTTAATGTTTTCATTAAGTGAAAAGAATTACAGCCAGACTTAGCGTTGCCCGACCCACAGTCCGTTGAGAGAGAAGGGCCGCTCAGACGATTTACATTTCAGAAACAAATTGTCCTTAGAAGTTAGCCCCTGAGCTAAAGAGACCCTGTTTGTGTGGACGTGTCTTCAAGTCGCCTGTCCACTTATGCATGGACTTCATAGGGTTTTCTCAGACAAGGAATACCCAGAGGTGACTTTGCCAGCTCCTTCCTCTGAAATAATAGCCTACAGCACTTGAGATTGCACGGAAATCCCATTGAATTCAGTAGGGACTACTCCTGAGTAACCATGCATAGGATTAATCTATAAAATCAGTATGTAAAGAGATTTTGTAGCACCTTTGAGACTAACTGAACGAAAGAAGCATGGCAGCATGAGCTTTCCTAGACTTAGGTCTAATTCCTCGGACCAAATGTATCTGAAGAAGCAGACTTAGGTCTAGGAAAGCCTATGCTGCCAACTTCTTTCTTTCACTTGGTCTCAAAGGGACTACAAGATCTCCCTACATACATACATAGGATTGTAGCCTGGTGTATGTGTGTGTGTGCCTTTGAGTCATTTCCAACGGATGGCGACCCTAAGGAGAATCTATCACAGATTTTGCAGGTTTGTTCAAAGGGCTTTTGCCATTGCCATCCTTTGAGGCTGAAAGTGTGTGACTTGACCAAGGTCACCCAATGGTTTCCATGGTCGAGTAGGGTTTTGAACTCTGCTCTCCAGATGCTCAAACTACTACACTTTGCTGATGGAATTTTTCTTGAGATTTGCTAGAAAGCTCAGGAAAATAGGAGAGATTGATTTAATTTCACCAGCAAAGTAAACACAGCAGAAAGTGCGTGAGCAGGAAAGCAAACTAGTCCACTCTTATTCTTCTCCCAAACCTGCACGTCTGCCCCCCAAAAGAATCAATACAAAGTCTTTAGAGAGAGAAAAATAAAATAGATTTACTTACAAAACCATGTGTAGGCATATACACAGGTCCTGCTTAATGTTGCAAAGAAATGAGGTAGAAAAAGTAGTCTACATGCTTCTTAAGAAAGTTTCCTATCATCATGCTAGGAAGTCATGCTGCTCCAGACAAGAACAAAGAGGATAAGATAATGGCGATCTCTCCAGGGACAAAGAAAAGTGTGCTCTTAGAGAAGGCGGAAATTAGAGGTCATAACACAATAAACTATCATAGACATGCATCTATGTTCCTAGAAAGACTCAGGGTGATTATGTTGCAGTATCCCCAACACCCCTTCTCAATTTGAGCATGCACCCAACCAGCCCCATGATTTTCAAAAGCATATCTGGGCAGCAGCTTTGTCAAGATGTCAGCTGTCATCTCAACAGTTGAACAGTAGGTAGTAGTACGTAGCATTTCCCAGTTCTTTTAGTTCAACTTCTTTATTCAGGTCATTCACAATTTCAGTGTCATCTGTATCTCACTGAATAGCTATGATCAGGTCACCAACATATATCAGAATGTATGTTAACTGCCCATCTTTGGTCCTTGTGTATAGGCATTTGTCTGCTTCTCCTTGCTGAAAATCTAATTGTTTCAGCATTTCATCCAGTTTTTCATTCCAAACTCTAGCAGCCTGTTTAAGTCCATATAACCCCTTCTTGAGCTTGTAAACAAGGTGTGGTCTTTCATTGTCCACAAAACCTAGAGGCTGTTTAATAAAAAGATCTTCTGTAATTGCACCATGTAAAAATTCAGCTTTTACACCAATATGTTTGATATTCTGGGCCCATAACCTGATGGAATTTTTCTTGAGATTAGTTAGAAAACTCATGAAAATAGGAGAGATTGATTTAATCTCACCAGCAAAATAAACACAGCAGAAAGTGCATGAGCAGGAAAGCAAACTAGTCCATGCTTATTCTTCTCCCAAATTCACATGTCTGCCCCCCAAAAGAATCAATACAAAGTCTTTAGAGAGAGAAAAATAAAATAGATTTACTTATAAAATCATGTTTATATGTGTACACATATAAACAGGTCCTACTTAATGTTGCAAAGAAAATAAAGTAGGAAAAGTAGTCTATATGCTTCTTAAGAAAGTTTCCTATCAGCATGCTAGGAAGTCATGCTGCTCCAGACAAGAACAAAGAGGATAAGATACTGGCAATCTCTCCAGGGACAAAGAAAAGTGTGCTCTTAGAGAAGGAGGAAATGAGGAGTCATAAAACAATAAACTATCATAGACATGCATCTATGTTCCTAGAAAGACTCAGGATGCTTAAGTTACAGTATCCCAAACACTTGAAGTTCAACAAGCATTGTCAAGCAAAGAGGTTTAGGACTGCTACCAAAATAATAATAATAATAATAATAATAATAATAATAATAATATTTATATCCCCGCTCTTCTGCAGTGATTTGGTTCTAGGACCCTGCCCCCAAAATACCAAAATCCGTAGATGCTCAAGTCTCATTAAATACAATGGCATAGTAAAATGGTGTCCCTTATATAAACTGGCAAAAACAAGGATTGATTTTGGAATTGATATATTTGTTGGAATATTTTCAAGCCATGGATGCTTGAAAGCGTAGATAAAAAAATCCGTGGATATCGAAGCCTGACTGTATTTTGCTGGAGCATCCTTACGAGTTCCCAGGTCTCTCTCAGGGGGCACACAACAACAACAACAACAACAGTTCCCAAGAAGTGCGGTGTGTCCAGCCCTGAAGTAAACCAAATTGGGAAGAAGGGGGGGGGGTCTACTTTCCTGGGATCCCAGTGAGCCTCCCCTGTGGGTTGCGTGGGTCTGCCTGACTGCTGATCCAGTCAGTCTGTGGGATATCTAGGGCGCAAGACAGCTGCATCCGATGGGTTTCAGCCATGCCTTCCCCCATAAACGATGCACGAAGGAGGGTTTGGGAAGTCTCGCCAGTCCCAGGTGAGTCGAGGAAAACCACGAAGGGAATGTGGACAAGGAAAGATTCGTTTGGCATCTGTAAGACCAGCAAATGCATGGTTGGAGTGTGAGCTTTCCTGGCTGGCTAACAAGAGAAACTGAAAACCTCATACCCCTTAAAGTTTAAACCGTGTAATGGATTTTTGTTGTTGCCTGCTTTCTGGTCGTATCACGGGTTTTTCATGGCAAGATTCGTTCAGAGGCGGTTCTGCCATTGCCTTCCCTTGAGGCTGAGAAAGTGAGACTTGCCCAAGGCCACTCACCGGATTTCCATGGCCGAGTAGGGATTCGAACCCAGGTCTCCCGCTCTCCCAGGCCAACACTCATACCACTATGCCAGGCTGCCTCTGATAGCAACAGAGTTACTTAAGCCAACCTTGATTTGAGCAGGCCTTACCAGGAGGCCCGTTTTATCTATCCTTCTGGGGTTTCCCTCCCTTTCTCTGCAACGTTCCCTACTAACTCAGAGAAGACATATCGATTGAGGGGGGTTGCAGACTGCCAGAAATAGTGCAAATTGAGTCCACTTTAAGGGTTAGGGTTAGGGTTAGGGAATCATGGGGACTGTATTTTATTGTGGCACCAGAGCTCTCTGACAGAGAAGGCTCAATGTCTCAGAAAAAAATACAATTCCCATGACTCCCTAGCACTAACCCTAACCCTAAAAGTGGACTCAATTTGCACTATTTCTGGCAGTCAGCAACCCCCCTCAGTCAAATACGTTTTCCAGATATTTCTCACCTTCTCATCTTATCAGAGGTCTTCCACTTTTATTTTTAATATTTGTAATGGCCTAGATTCTGTTGTTAGTCCTATCTATAGCAGACCTATTGAGTCAATGGGACTTACTTATGGGTTGAAAACTAGCTGGGAATAGCCAACAGACTGTCTACTTATCTGTGTCTGTTAATTATTTCGACCGCATTTTGTTCCATGGCTATTCCCATAGGAGTCTCATTCTTTTAAATGGATGGCTGTTTTCTCAACGTGTGTGTGTGTGTGTTGAAAACAACCATATATTTAAAAGAATAAGACTCCGATGAGAATAGCTGATGGGAGAATATAATATAATGTAATATAATATAATATAACATAATATAATATTTCCCGGTCTTGTTCTATCTATCTGTCTGTCTGTCTATCTATCTACCTATATATATAAATATACATACACACATATATAGAATAAGACTGGGATGGGAATAGTCAAAGGGATTATATATATATATATATACACACACACATATATATATTCCCAGTCTTATTCTCTCCCTTTCTCTCTGCACACGCACACACAGAATAAGACT